ATCTAGATGGCCACTTGTTTACCTTCAAGCCTTGAAGACCCTAGACTATATCTTTTGATAGCCGGGCACCATCAGCTTTCTTCACTACATTTGCTTATGCATCCATTTGTCTTTGGTGATCCTGTCGGGAAGGTGAGCATCATGGAATGCCAGGTTAATAGAACAAGGTATTCTTGCATTGAGGGAGTACTTGAGTGGAGGCCCAATGTCCATCTGTTACCTTAATACTAAACCTATAAATATATGCACATAGATCTATTTCCCCATTATCACATATGAATATATTTACTGTACATATGTGCATACCTTTATTTAGACCTCTATAAATGCTCTTTGCCTCCTAGTTCTTTCCTCTATTTCCTTTTACCTTCCTCTTGTCCCACTATCATGCTCAGCCTTCATTTGGGTTTCAGTAATTCCTCTCGGTTACATTGCCATTGATCAAGGCCTACCAGGCCTCTTATACCCTCCTCGCCACCGATTTTGGATCACTTGTTGTTCCCTTGTCCCTGGGTTTGTTACACCACTTCCTTTCCCCCACCTCCCCTTCTCCCATGTCCCCCTGGAACCGTGGGTCCATTGTTTCCTCCTCCAGATTGTTTTTCCCACCTATCTTATCTAGATAGACCTGCAGAGATAATAATATGCACAAAAACAAGACAGAGCAAAACAAAGCAGCAAAAGAAAATAAAACAACAACAAACCAATGACAAGAAAAGAAAAGCCTGTAAACAGTTCGAGGTCTGTTTGTTGACCTTTAGGAGTGTTTTCCTGTTGAGTCTGATGGGGTGCCATGCCCTGGCCCCAAAATCTATTTTTGGTATTCCCTGGGGACTTCTTTGCTTTGCTCCCCTTGCTGTTCTGTTGCACACCTGTAGTGTTTTGCCTCCAGTGTGGTGAGATCATATTGGGCGTAATTCCTACAGTGACTCTAGTGTTGTCCCCTGTAGGGCTATGGATCAGTGAGGGATGTCGAGTCTCATAGTGGGGCCAGCCATATGGTCGTCTCTGTAGATTGACTGCTCTGAGCGGGAATATCGTCATCAAGGATTGGTGGGCCAGGATGTGCTCCACTCTCTTCACCCCCCTTCATTTGCTCCCGTGTGCTCTGATCAGACATGTCCCCTCTCCCTGAGGTGCAGCTTCAACGCTGTCCTCTGAAGTAAATTCTTCTGGGGGGAGGGACAGATGTCCATGTAGTTGGGATTGGGGCCAGCCCTCAGACCCTCTCTATTGGTTCCCTGCTTCATGTTGGTATGTTGCATTTATATCTTGGAGCACCAGGTTGAAGTCTGGTCCCTCTTTCCCTGTGGAGATATAAACAATACCCTCCCCTTGGGTGGGTAACTGCCCTTTTCCTCCGCTACCCATTCCTTTTGTATTTTTTTCCTTTCCTCCACCCTCCTTTTTAGTTGGCTACCATATGTATCCCCGGATTTGGTCTGGCCCCTGCCATACTACCTGGTCCTCACCCCAGGAATGTTTGTATACAGTAGGTGTTTCCCTATGCCATGTGTGTGTGTGTGTGTGTGTGTGTGTGTGTGTGTGTTTAGTTTTAAGTTTACCTCAGCGGACTCATGTTGTACTTGACCTTTTGTGCTTGGCTTACTTCACTTAGCATAATTTCTTCCAGTTCTTCCCATGCAGTGATGTGCTTCATGCGTTCCTCAATGCTTTTTAGCGATGCGTAGTACTCCATTGTATGTATGTACCACAGTTTTGGGGGTTGTTTTTTTTTTGTTTGTTTGTTTTTTTCGGTTTTTGTACCACAGTTTTTTAATCCATTTGTCTGTTGATGGAAATTTAGGTTGTTTCCAACTCCTTGCAATTTTGAACTGTGCCGCGATGAACATTGGAGCACAGATGTTTGACCATGGTTTATTTCTTGCCTCTTCTGGGTATATGCCCAGTAGGGGGATTGCTGGGTCGTATGTTAACTTGATTTCCATCTGTTTTAGATATCACCAGATCGATTTCTATAGTGGCTGTACATGCCTACAGGTCCACCATCAGTGGATGAGAGTTCCTATCTCACCACAGTCCCTCCAACACTTGTTGCTTTCTGATTTTATGACTTGGGCTATCTTCGAGGGTGTTAGGTTGTATCTCATTGTTGTTTTAATGTGCATTTCTCTTATGGTTAATGATCAGGAAAATTTTCGCATATGTTAATTGTGCCAGTACCTTTACTTTTATTAATTAATATATTTACATAAGTGCACACCTATGTTTATACCTCTATCCATAGCTTTGCTTCCTAGATCTTTCCTGTCTCCTTTTGCCTTCCTTCTTTCCCACCATCATGCTCACCCTTCTGCCTCTTAATAACTCTTCTCAGCTAGATTGCTGTTAATCCAACACTCCCAGGATCTCCCTCATTCCACAAGGATTTGTGATCTCATCTACTCAGAATCGGCTCAATAGCACAGAACCACAAAACGCCAGATGTGGTCATGCATGTTGCACTTCAAACCTGGCTAGAAGCTTTCTGGTAACCCAATTGAAAGGGAGTCTGAGTTAGATGAAGAAGGAGGAGCAACAACCCTTTTTTACTTTGAAGATCTAGGAGGGATTTCCCACCTGGAGCTTTATATAAGAGCAGACATTATCCTACAACAACTCAGGCAGGCTTTTTTCTGAAAACAGTCTCTCAGTGAAGTTCACCTGAAAGTAAAACCCACCTCGTAGAGCTTCTTTTCAGAGCTAAGATAACCTATACTGAAGGCTACAGTCCTAGATTTTCATCAGCAAGTGCTTCAAGTCCTCCTCCCTGGCCGCAAGCAAAGTTGTGTCATCTGTTTATCACAGGTGGTTAATGAGTCTTCCTCCAATCTTTATGCCATGTTTTTGTTCATGTAGCCCAGCTTCTCAGACTAGTTGATCAATGTTCAGATTGACTAAGTATGGTGAAAGGAAGCAACCCTGACTCACCATCTGGGTCAGAGTTGATCTGGGCTCCAGAGGGTTTTGTGGTGGAAGTCTTTACAGAAGCCGATCCTATCACCATGCACTTACTTTTGAAGCCCGGATAGGTGGGTTCAAACTGCCAACCTTTAGGTTTGTGGTTGTCACTATGTGCTATTGAGTTCATTTCTGTTCATAGTGATCCCATGTGGTCCCATAGGGCTTCCTCCGCTCTCAGCTGCACAGGAACAGGTTTCCAAGTCTTTTCATCCTTCCAGAGGCTTAGCGTTGGCCTCCCAGGAGCTGAGGGCAAAGGCCAGACTGAAAGTTCTCTTTGGTCAAAGTTCTTCACTATCCAGAAACCCAGAGTGTAAAATCAACCTTTGCTGCCATTTTTTAAAGATTAAATGATCATTTTGTTTTCTATCTGTATGTTAAAGTATGAAAATACTATATTTATTCAAGAGTTTTTAAAAGCTTAAGAAAGTACCTAGATTTCATGGTTTATTGTTGCCGTTAACATTGTTTCTATGGGGGAAAGACCTTTCAAGCTTGGTTATATGAAAGACGCCCTGGTGGCTTAGCAGTTCCATGTTGGTCTTCTAACTGCAAGGTCAGCAGTTCAAAACCACCAGCCACTCCACAGGGGAAAGACAGGACTTTCTAATGTGAAGAGTTACAGTCTCAGAAACTCAACAGGGGCAGTTCTACCTGCCCTATAGGGTCGCTATGAGTTGCATCGACTGGATGGCAGTGTGTGAGCTTATGTTTTAAAAAGGTAGCCTTATGACAGGATAGGTAAGTTTCTCTTGTTCGAGACAGTTGGGGCCCTGAGTATTTAAATGTGGGTGCTTTAGAAGATGTATTATGTCTCGAGTCGTCATGGTACAGTGACTCACCAATCTAACATGTCTTTCAGGAATTGTGCCGTCTTCTGTCGTCCTGACTACTTTCCAGGTGATGTCAAGGGTTTTTCTGATATGGGCAGTAACCCATAGTGTCAAAGAGGTAAGTGTATGAATAAAAATAAGTGCTCTCAGCCCTGCCCAACCATAATCACCTTGTCTTTTCCACAGGTGTGCTATGGCAGATGACACTCCAGACTATATCAGTGTACCCCAGATAAAGGTCACAGTCACTGTAGGAGTTGAGTTAGTAGTGGGAAAGAAGCCCAAAGATGTAGCCTTGTGAAAAAGGGAAAGGAAAAAAAAATAGATAGATAGATAGATAGATAGATAGATAGATAGATAGATAGATAGATAGATAGATGATAGATAGATAGGTAGCTGGCTGGCTGGCTTTGTGGAAGGAGAAGGTGGGAGTGGTGTGAACATGGTCAGCACCTCAGGTCTGTTTTTCCGGTGTGCTTATTATTTGTATCCAGAACACTAGCCTCTGGCAACGTGTCCTTGTCATGGGACCCTGCTGGCCAGAGTAGACAGGGTGAAGGGGCCAGAGTTAGGGGTGAGTGCTGACTTTTGTCCCCAGAGCAGTGTTGGTCTTTCCAGGGCCTGGAGAAACAAAAGCATTCCCACCCAACCCACCAGGCCTGATGGAAGGGCCAAATGTGCTGAGCTCAGTGGTTATGCGAGAGGACTGATCTGCTGGGGGTGGAACCTGTCTACCATGACCATCCGAGTCGGGCTGCCCAATAATGGGATGTCCTAGAAAACATGCAACTCTGTTCAGCTCAGATAAGCATAAATAAGCTTGTGCTTGACCTTGCTTATTGCGTATGCTAGCCTTGATTACCATGGGCCTGAGTCTTCCGCAACGCAGATTTTTTTTCTACTTTTATTCCAATAATTATCTGTTTTTTTCAGCGTTGGTCATCTCTTGCTAAAGTCACCTCAAGTAGCCACTGCTTTTCTGGCCTCAGCGGCCTCTCGCCAGCATCACTGGATTCTAATCCAGTAGCACTGCCCCGGTGTGTTCTTCTTCCGCTAGTCTTCTAAAATGCCGGGCAAGACATTTTGTTCATTTGTGTTTCAGCTAATGAATTTTTAAAACTTTTTTAATTGGCAACGACTAAGCTGAGTTTATTAGTTTTGTTTGTCACAAGGAATTTCAAATCCCGCAGGGTTCTCTGGTTTTTGTGAAGCGCTCTCACCTCTTACAGATATTTACACTTTATGTGCAAGAAGAATGTAATATTGCGCTTGGCTTTCAAATGATTACATTTCTCTTTTGAAAAGTACAGGGAAAACCCAGCAAATCAATCCTCATAGAGCATATTGACCATTGTGCTCACATTGACTCACACATGGAGCTCGTCAGGGAAGTTACTTCAATTTTGGTACCATGTCACTTGCCATTCATTCAGAAGGCCTTTTTTTATTGTTTTAAATCATTTTGTTGGGTGCCCATACAGCTCTTACCACAATGCATGCATGCCTCCATTGTGTCGAGCACATTTCTCCATTTGTTGCAGAAGGTCCTTTTACCAACCGTTTTCACCCATGCTTGTTACGTGAACACTGCTGTCCTCTGATTTTAACCAACTCCTAGTTGTATTTCCCAGAAGTCTCAAGTGACCTAAAACTTCTTAATAGTAACTCATTTGCATTCTTAAATGCTGAATTAAGTACTATCAAAAACTAAGGCTGAGGTACACGAAGACAAAGCCTTGTGTGTGTGTGGGGGGGGGAGGGGGGGTCCAGTCTCTTTGCTGGCTGAGTCAGGGAAACACTTGCCGGAGGCTGATAAGCTCTCCGTGGCCTCTGCTTCTCTCGCTCTCCTCTGCTTCTGTGACCATTCCCAGCTATCGTCACTTCTACAAACATGTAGGTAGGCTTTAAATACAAGGAGAGCAATTTTGCTACCGAAATTGCTGGTGGCAACCCTTGCCAGTGTCTCCCAGACTGATCATTAGGGCTGGTTGGCTGAAACCACTAGGAAAGGGCTCTCTGGCTGGGGGACCTAGCCAGCCCTCAGTCCCCACACAGCTGGCAGGTGCGTAGACTTGATGTTTCGCCGACAGGGTTCATGTAGAGCAGCGGTTCTCAACCTTCCTCGTGCCGCGACCCTTCCAGACAATTCCTCATGTGGCAACCCCCCGATCATAAAGTTATTGTCGTTGCTATTTCATCACTGCCATTTTGCTACTGTTATGACTTGGATGACCCCTGTGAGAGGGTCATTCAACCCTCAGGTTGAGAACCGCTGATGGAGAGCCTCCTGTTTGAGCTTTACCGTCCTTTAGGAGGTCCTCCCTCTCTGCACATTCACACGCTTTTCTCAGTAAGCAAACCTCCCATTTCTGTTAGCGTCAACCTCATTTTCTGAAGTTAGTGCATTCAGTTTTTATTATCCTGATGTCACCTCTGCAATCCTCCTTCTTTTTATATGGCATGTTCATGCCCCTACTAATCAGGTCCCAGTCACTTTTCGCACGCCAACGCGTCTTTTCCCCTCATTCCCCTTTCCCTCAAGCAGCACACCTTGAGAGCCCTCCCTCTGTTTATAGCAGCAGATGTCTGCCTGCCTGCCTGCCTGCCTGCCCCAGGCCTTTGACCGCTAACCTGAAAGCCAGTTGCTGTGGCAGCTGGAGGGCAGTCTGCTGTCAGATGCCTGTTTTTCTCAGCCTCGTTTCGTAACCAAACACTCTCTATCTTGTTGTAGAGTTTCATGTTGGATATAATTCATTTTCTTCTTCTACAGCATGGCACGTGAATTCTCTGTGAAATGCCTTCTATTTCTTGGAGCATCTTATAAATAGCTTTATTTTCCTTATGTTCCACTCTACTTACTTTATAGTGAGAGCCATGTAACTAACAGATAAGGCAATTGACTTCAGAAACTCAAAGTAATGCACAAATGACTGTAGTTTAATTTCTATCTCTTCTTGGATCATATTCCTTTTAGAGTATTGGGGGGCGGGGAGGTGGGGAATAACGAAGCTCACGCCATCAAGATAGAACTGCCCCGCAGGTTCTGAGGCTAGAAATCTTTACAGAAGCAGAAAGCCTCCCCTCTTTCTCCCAAGGAGAAGCTCGTAGGTTTGAACTGTTGGCCTTGGGTTAGCAGACCAATGTGAAACCCACTATGCCACCAGGGTGCCTTCTCGCTAGACTAGACCCAGAATGCTGCATTTCCCAGCATTGTGTTTGGATTTGGACTCCTCTTGTCTTTGCTCAGCCCTTGTCTTTGTACAGCCATACAGGAGACAGGCTTTTCATGACCACACGTTGCTTTTCTCCTACATTGCTTTTAAGACTTGTCCTTTTAATTCTACGCCATGGGAGCTAGTCCTATAAATGTCATCTATCTTGTGGAACTAAAAGATGATCAGATTTTTTGTGGGGGTGTGCGCACACGTGCTTGTGTGTGTGTATGTGTGTGTAACATGTAAGATTCCATCCAACAGTTTGTCTGACACCTTTATTGGCAGGTATTACAGAAAACGTGTGGTTTGTAGCCTTAAAAGCTTCATGACTTAGAATAGCAAATAAACCTTCCTACCATTTTCTTTTTAAAGAGCCACCACTACCCGCCCGCTGCCCCCCCTTCACACACACACACATACACAAAGGGGCTACTGACAAAAAAAAGACGAGAATCAGAATTCCAACTTTCCTATCCTATTTCTCCACATGTTGTCCGGAATTGAGCTGGCTCCTTCCCGATGCCTTGGCCTGGCTGGTCCCCGCCGCTGTACCAAGTCTTGTGTCAAAGGGCATCTGCAACGGCGTTCCCTTCTCTCTCTCTCTCTCTCTCTCTCTCTCTCTCTCACTTTTGTAGGAGGCGTAATACTAGCTAAATTGCGTCCTTGCTTACACGTCCCTGCTCCAGTCTCGATGCATTGCAGGTTTGTCTGAATTGCTTGTGCTCGTCTCCTGGGCTTGTACGCACTCCTTGATGTCCATCCTGGCCATGGTGCCGTCCTCCCAGCATCCACCACCACCCCACCCATGTCTACAAGACACGAATGACAAGCGTCTTAACCCCATCACTGAGATGCAGTGTCGGGGAGCACATCGGCCTCTCATCGGATCCTGTACGTGCACCTCGTCTGGCCCTGCTGCCCTTCCCGCAGTGTCCCCCTGTCTCGTTTAGCAAAGGCCAGTGGGGTGCAACTGTGGAGCGCTCTTGGGGACTGAATGTTTAAGTCTTCTTTTTCCTTCTAGTACCTCACTTTCTATTTTGAATATTGCTGTAGGTGGGTTTGCATCACCTTCAGTTTTTAAAATTAGTGCCACAGCTAAAGGTAGAAAAACCTCATTTGAGTGTTAATCAGACAATGTCAAACTTTAGACAAGTCTATGGCAAATGCAGCAGTACCTTCATGCCATGTTCCGCTCCTGGTGGTGACGGACACTCTTAGCTCGATGGCCTGTCTTGCCATGACCTGTGTTTAGGATAGGTGGCTTGAGCACACTCAGAATCCCTGCCTTTTCCCACAGTAGAAATTTACCTCTTCCTACCCAGGATGTATTTGCTAATACTGAGTTGAAAATATTTTCATTTCGAAATTTTGAGATGCATGTCTGTCCTCCTTGGCTTCCATTCCGGCCACTTCTGACCTCTCGTGTTGCATCCTTTCCTTGTCGTCTTAGCTCTTCCAGCCCTGGAAACACTGCCGGAGTTTCCTCTGACAAGGCAGGGCTTGGAGAATCAAGTCAGAAATGTAAGCATGCGCAAGAAAATGTTCAAATCTTGTGAGCCACCATTGCTACCGTTTCATAAGCACATAGCGTCTCTTTGTCAGTTAATAGTTAAATTGGTTCCAAGCTCAGCAAAGTCAGGCTATGAGTTTAATTTGTCATGAATGTTAATCTTTCTCTCGTCTGGACTCTCCAGTTCTTCCCACGCCTCCTCCCCATGATGACTGCCCCGTACAGACTCACACACACTTGAAGTTTCTCAGGACCTTCCCTTTTGCTCTCTCGCCCCACGGGCTAAATGCTGACATTCACATATCCAGCAGTCAATTTAGGCTTAAGAGGAAGCCATTCCACCAGACACATTCCCCAGAATGGTGTCCACTTAGCTTGTTTTTTTGTGTATTC